TCTCTCTCTCTCTCTTTCTCTCTATTCTGTGTCCCTGACACAATAAAGACCTCCAGGGATCTGCCTCTCAGTTGTAAAACCGTCCCTCAGAGACCTTGGGTCTGGGAATGTAGCCAAGCCTGCAAACAAAGAAAGACAACAAAACATAAGTCTTGATATTTATTCTGTAGTCAAACGCAGTACGTACGCTTCACGTGGAGAGAAACGACAAACATCTCATTAAAATTCACTGCCATGCTTCACGCTTCATCCATAGAATTCCCGACTGTACCTCAGATACACAGTCCATACAGCCTGCCAAAGTGCCCGGCCTTTCAACCTTCACTTTCTCTTGAAGCGTTACTTGAATATTCGAATGTAGAACTGGGGTCTTAGGAAGACAGGGTTCTCCATGCTTCCTCGCCCCTCTTCATAAAGGTCCATTTCATTGTGGGCAGGTTGATTGTCTCCATCATCAGTAAGTTGTTGTGGCGTCTGATGTGGTCACGCTTGAAGTGTTATATCATGGTAATACACAACTATAGCTTGTTTACTTTCGTCTGACCGTGTTTGAAATGAAATCGCTCAGTTTAATCTTCTAAGACCTTTGCATAGGTGTCCTCATGTTGGATGACCAACAGAATCTAAAAGACCATTCATAAAGGTCACCTCAAATTGAGGTTCCGACACGTTTTCTTTGATGTAAGACTAAAGCGGGTAAAAAATACTAGGCGATTTACAGGATACACCTAAAACATTTGCCATGCAAAGTTTTTTCGGCATAGGTAAATTAAAAAATGAGCTAGAAATCTTTACTAAAGCTACTTCATATAAAGAGAGGGGAGAGGTATGAGCCAATCGGAATATTTTAAAACTGAGATGGGTTTTAAGTGCTGAAGAAGACGCAGAGTAAAAGTAAATAGGTTTTCCATTCCGAACTTACTTGGCTTTATTTGCATATCTGGTGTCATATTTAGTTTATCGTGACGCCATTCGCGAAAAATTCTTTCATTACGAAGAGCGGGCCCAAATCAAACTTTTACCGATGCAAAGAATCTTCTTTAGAGAAGTTTTATTTGAAGACTTTTCGTTAATGGTGTAAAAAGGTCCGGTCAGCTGCTAAGGAGTGACCGCTAACTGTACGACTGTACGAAGAGTCCCCCCCCCCCCCTAATACGACAACCGTGAGTACACAGAAGTAGATGGTTTGCTTTAGAGTGATTTCGTCAAGATTAATTTGGATCGTAATAAATAAATAAAGTAACTACTCTGTTCTACCAAATTTTTCGCTTGCGAGTGAAGTAAAACTCGTACTAAAACGAGCACAACTCTTTTGGTATATCTTAACCCCTTACTTTCAGTTGTCATGATTTGCTAAAAATATTTCCCGTGAGTGCGTTTCTCTGAAAAAAAAGTAATGGTGAGCACAATGAGCCGGCGTCAATGGTGTAGCTGTTATGCTCTTCGAGACAGCCGTCGCACGCTTTCGATTCTTTGATTACATCTATCTTTCTGCCGGGATTTCTCAACCCAGGTTGGCCCTGACCAGAAGGGGTTGGAGCAGCCTGACTCCTATACAATCTAAAGAGTGTCTGTAAGGGCGTAAAGCGTCCACAAAAATGATGATTACATCCTGTTTTTACTAAGGATCAACATATTTCCCGGAAATGCAGAGTAAAAACATTAAGTTGCGTGTAGCCTTAAGACTTAATTCTGACATTTCACACCCCTGAATCTCGGAAAGAAAACCAAACTGATAGCTCTTCTGATTTTTTAAAATATTCAGCTGAATATGATTATTTTTTATTGTTTTTTTTTCGGGAAGTCATATTTTTTTTGCTCTCGTCACTGAAGGCAAGCATGGTCGAAAGGGGAGTCTTTCCACTAACGGAAAGTAGAGGATACGTTTGTGCTTGTTTGTGTCTGTGAGACTGTGTCAGTGTGTGCACGTGTGGGTGTGTGTGCGTGTGTGTGTATATGTGTGTATGTGCATGCGTCTGAGTGTGTGTTTAAGTGTGAGTATGCATGTGTGTGTGTAAGAGACAGACAGAGAGAGAGAGAGAGAGAGAGAGAGAGAGAGAGAGAGAGAGAGAGAGAGAGAGAGAGAGAGAGAGCGAGAGAGAGGGAGGGAGCAACTATTATATTAGTGATTTGAATGTGTACTTCGTAATCTTTGCTCACTCACCATGGCTTGTCCAGTGTTCCGTTTGATGGGTATCCATCATACTTTTCTTGAATGCTGAGGAGATAAAGGTAGAAAATGTTAAACCTTAAAGCCATGAATACAACACAATAGAAAAACTGTCGAAAATGCGTCTCTCGAGCTTATTGCCGTTTGATACTTGCTATTATTCCCTTCTCAGTTGCTAATACATGTATTTTCAAAGTAAAATATTTCACATTTCTGG